GAGTCCTGGACCTCATGCTCCGCTGGGGCCGAGCCCATCACGTGGGTTGGATTGCCCTGACACATGGGTAGCCCTGGGCGGTGTTTCACGGCCCCGCGCTGCAGCACGCTGCGCTGCGCTGCTGCATTGTTGCGGCGGTTGATATGAATTGGGCTCCACGCTAGCGTTGCGAGCCATAGGTGCGGGAGCCGGGGGGGGGGGGGGGGGGGGGGCAGTGGGTGCAGCTTGCCCCCCCCCCCAACTCTGGGGCCGTGGGGGCGGTGCCCCCACAGCTTTGAGACGGAATACCAAATTGTTTCGCAAATGTTTTCTTTTTTGTTGAAAAAGCCGAGAGATGAAAAATAAGTGGCCTAAAACCGGTGAGAAAACTAGATTTGGGGGGACCCTAGGTTGATCTCTATTATGGTGTGCCCCCAGTCGGAAAGTAGTTCCCGCGCCCCTGTTGCGAGCTTCCGAGTCTGTTGATGTTTCCATGGAAATTGGAAGCCCAATGCACCGGTGCGCACAACGCACCCTGTCTCAGCAAAATTTTACCATCGATGACCTCTAGTGACATGACCTCTGGCTATGACCGGATCCAAAATTAGCTGAAGTATTTTTTTCTTCTTTTTGCTACTTTTGACGCTACTTCGAATACCACTTAAATGCCCAAAGCTGAGTTATAAGAATGATCCTCAATCCCCATTTCCCCTCCAACAGGGCGTGAGAGTCTAGGCATTCATGTGGGGCACGGGCTAACAATGACTATCTCATCGGCCATGAACATCTACTGCCATTCTTTAACACCGGTTTCGCTGCGCTGAGCGGTGGCCGTCCCGTTTGTCGGATTCTACAGCTGGCTGGTGGAAAGCGTTACCGGCCGCCCGTCCACCGCCCGCGGGCCGGACCGAGCGGTCCCGCTGACCCTTCCTGACCTGATACCGGCGCGATATGGGACAGGCAGACGGGGGTTCGGCTCAGCGAAGGCAGCGCCCACTGGTGCCGGGGACTTTTTTAATAGACCTACTGTCCATTTTAAAAATAAAAATGGATCTCTGAGTAAAATAGCTTAATTACGAAGTCTGTTTTGCCGTCAAGCGCGTTTTATCGATTGAAGGATGGAATAAGAATTATAATATACAGACTTAAATTTTCCCCCAGAATTTCATTGTTTATTAGCCAGCGGCCAACAAGTCATTTTCATCTGAAATGACGACAGATCTATAGTATCAATTCATCACTCGATGGCTTTGGTTTGGCATCTGGACCTGTAGAGGGCGTAAGTACAGTTTCAATAGCTAATGCTGCATGAAACCATTTGCATGCAAGGCGTAACAAGTTCTTATGGTCAGGTAACTGCAGGGCAGATCAAGTGACCTTACCTCAGAAAAGGTTAGAACTTGTTCGCCATAGCTACCCCGACTGAACGATCGCTTTGAAACTTTCAGCGATCAATAGCAGTAAAAGCATGTATAAAATACATCCATTGGAACTTTGATGTCCAACCGATGACCTAAGGTCAGGCCAATTTTGCAGTCTCTTAGAAGTTGACAGGAGAAAGTTGAAAGACGCCTTTTTGGATAAAGGTCTTTCTAAACGCTCTCAAATATCGGGTTCCATGTAAACACAACACACTGAATCGGCAAATTGCACTTGTAGTGACCCCTCTTTATGACCATGAGGCCATGTCAGGTCATAACAGATCTGCAGTAGTTTTTTACGTTTACCTACTTTTTATGGAGACGTATTCGAGCAATGAAAATAACCTTAGATGTGTTTAAGTCGACGATAAGAATCGTCTGATAACCAACATGACCTTTTCATGTCAGGTCATGACCTTGACCTTAGGTCAAATTTTAAAGTGGTCTTAAAAGCCAAATTATAGTTAACTCGACACGTCTCGACGAGAGGAACACGATGCCGGCAAACGCAATGTCGTGCCTATCTAAGGTAAACTAATTTTGCCGTAAAATATATAAATCGTCAAAACAGCTATTTTAGACGTTGTTGCCCTCTGGAGGCTATACTGTTGACCTTAGGTCAACTTTGAGGGCTTATTCCAGAAAGCGTTAGTAGAGCTACTGAATGCGCATCTCTGCGGCGCTTTAGCTCTTTTAGTTTCCGAGCTTGTGGGCCGATTTGTAAAAAAAAGTTAAACAGGTGAAAATTGACCTTTGATGACCTCCGGTGACCTGATCTTTGGTCTGACCTAAAACATGACTGGAGTTTTTCCATGAATTTTTATGTTATTTTGAATGCCGCTTACGGCATCTTACATGCAGCTTACTCCTGTGCCGCTAAGTGGCACAGGAGTCGAGTTAGGGTATTCAATCCCCCCCTCCCAAAAAACCGGCACGGCTGGTGCCGAGCGCGGTCCCGCGCGGGTTAAAGTGTCTGCCATTGACATTGTATGCGAGCTATTGCATTAACTAGCCTCACGAGCCACGGTCAGCATACTGCCCGAGTAAACATCCTGCCCGTGAGATGAAAGGTGGGTAGTATGCATACTACCCGGGCAGTATGCAAACTACCCGGGCGGTATGCATACTGCCCAAGCGGTCGGGTAGTATGCATACTACCCGGACGGTATGCATACTGCCCGGGCTGTTGGGTAGTTTGCATACTGCCCGGGTAGTTTGCATACTACCCGAGCTAGCATATGGCCCGTAACATATGCATAATGTATGTTCCTATTTCTGGCATTGCCTACTTTTGGCAATATTTCATCATTCAGTGCCATCACTTTTTGTGTGAGAAATGCTGTAAACTACAGGCATAAAAGGACCCGGTGTTTTTGAATTGCATTTAATTTATTATGCGTTCTGTATTTTCCACATGCTTGTGTTGAACGAATGGTTCCTGATTGTAATACAAATTATGGACTAATAACATGACATAACTTTACCTTTTTCAATGTTCATTATTGCTGCACACACAGGCAGATGTGAACTTCTGAAATAAGGGACCGATAATGCTAAAAATTGTGAGATCAACTTAAATTTTAACTACTGTTCTTTGCAATGCAATTAAAGGTCCTTGTGTGAAAGAGTAAAATGATTCAATGCTGCATCATTGCACCTTTTTTGTTTTGTTCGTATTCCGTTGCGTGTATGTAGTGGATGCATTACTACTCAACTAAACATGGAAATGATAAATCTGAACCAAGGACAGCCAAACAAAAAGAATCCTACCAATATAAGAAACAAGGTCATATATTCTAGAACGGGCTTTGAAGGTTTCCTTTGGTGGGGTGAAATGTTGATTGGAAACACATCTTATTGCCGAAGTTGGGTAAACGGAGTTTGCATTCGTGATTCTTTTAAATGCTGAATCAGATAGCTTCTAATATAGAAATGATACATGTTTGAACTTTTAACTCAATTCAAGTAATGTTCACTCATGATGGCAAATTACGAAGCAAATTGCCCAATATGTCTGGTTAATTACTACTTTCTTGGTGATATCTTGTAACACTATGTAGATACAAGCTGCAAGGGATTCTCGTGGGCATATGATGGTCGACCTCCAAATATGACCTGACCTTAGGTCACTAAGACATAGTCTCAAGGTGTGCATTCCATAGAAAGGGCAGATCAAAAGCTCGTGGATTGTTACTAAATGATTGTTTTTCGAATTAGTCTTTATGACCTTATGTCGGTGACTAGATTGTTACTAATAAAAATCCAGTGTCTTATTGTTTTACACCGCTACGTAAGCGTTGGTCTTTACACATTTCTGTAGTCTATGTTCTGAAAGTAACTATGTCCACGACCAGAAGGTTCATGTATAATATTTTTAGCTCGACTCTGACAGCTATTTGGCAGGCAGCTGCTGGTGTTCGTTTCATCGGTAATAGCGAAAACCTGCTTTAAATTTCAGCCTAAATCTTTCCCAACGTTTTAAAACCTGCCTATTAGGCCGAAACGGCAACGCTACCATATTACCACAATAGCATGGGTAAAGGAGCTTGCGCATTCTTTAACATCTGCATGACGTTGGTCTGGAATCTGCACACCTGAAGTCAGACCTAAAGAGATGTTTTTTTTTTTGCATAAGTTGAACATTTTGCACGTACTTAAGTTTAGAAGATGGCCTGATGGTCGGAACACAGTGATATTTGGCCAATTCTGGGATTACTTTTTCGTGACTCACTTTCGTGTCGTGACATTTTTATGGGGCCGTTTTATAGCCATGTTTTGGGGCCAAATGAGCCCAGTTTTCGCCAGGACTTAGCACGGACTTAGTTCGAGCGTCTGCAGGTTAGTTCGTGTCAGTGACACTAGATGTCAGCTGGTGTCGGTGTCGGCACGGACGCGGTGCTGCATCAACACGGGCCGGCGCCGGCGTTCGCACGCTGTCGCCCGCGGTGTGAGCGGCGCGCCCGAGCCCCGTGGAAGCCATAACTCTGGCGGCCCGTGGCCCCACCCTGGGCCCGGCGCGGACGACCCCTGGGCGCGTTGTCATGGGAACTGGCTAATTATGCGGCGACCTTCAGAAATAGGGGCCAATCAGCTGACGCCGGTAGGGGTGCCCCGGCCCACAGGGGCTCCGGAGGCCCGGACGGCCGATCCGGGCGACTGCGGGCAGCCCACGGGGTTACCGGCCGCCGGAGCGGCAGCCCCGATACGGTATACGCCACGTGCATGCAGTAAATACAATATACCTAACACGTAGGTACAATACATATAACCAGAGTTGCTACCATTTAGCAACAATAATTATCTCATAAGTCGACTAATTCATGAGCAATTGCTAAGTATTTACACACAAAAACTACATAATTTTTAGCACCGCGAAAAGGCATTCTGGTGCACATATGAATGCTTCCAACAAAGGCCCTCGCAAAAAATGATAACGATTAGCAGTAACTAATCACATTTCACATTCACATATGTGGTCAGCCGCTGGATAATTTTTGTGTTACGTAGTGTAATCTTCATACGCTGTGTAAAACAGTTCCACTGTGTCACTTCAATTCGCTCGTTCCATCTCTCCTCTATCGCTCAGTCCTCACACCCATGTAAAGACGACATTATTTCATTTTGCTATATCGATTAAAATGAAGGCTATGTACACAGAGGTTGTGGCACACTACAAATAAATGATAACCGTGAAGCTATTGTTTGAGACACCTCTCAACGCCGCGCAATCTTAAAACCAAACAGCTTGGTTACATACATGACCTGCTCAGCTGTGGAACAGCCACTTGAAAACAAAGCACGGACACGATATAGGCGGGATGTAGAGAGAGAAACATTGATAAGTCCACTAACACAAATTTCCACATCGCTCATGCACCCCAGGTTCAAAATATATGGACCACGACACAACGGCTCTACAGAGGGGGTCGGGGAGGGGAGAGGGGGCAGAGGGAGCTCTACAGTCGCCGGCGGGAGCGGTACCTACAGCGTCAATTGTACTAACTGTTACGTACAACGTAGGTATTGGGCGCGCGCCGCACGCCGCCAGCCAGTGGCCGCTCGCAGCGCGCCGCGTTACGTATTGACGATCCCTGGTAAGTTGCAAACGCGCGCGGACGACGCGGCATTCCATCGTTCGACTGAGTCGCTCCGCCGTCCAACAACTCATAAGTACAATCATCTAGCTTTTCGAGATCACTCTTTCGAATTGAAGTTGCCTGATAGGTTTCTACCGATGAGCAGCTGTGCTTGCACGGCGTGTCGAGCACGGCTGGCTACGACCCCCGCAGCCGGGCCGGTGTACAGCGTATTTACAAGACCACTCACAAAGCACTTCCTTACGTATGTCGACCGCCGGCCCGTGACAGGGCCCTCAGCGAAAGCAGGAAATTGCACAACGCAGCCACCAACGAGCACAAAACAAAAACGGCTAGACTGATATACGAGTAGAATCGCCATGCGATGTAGACCGCTTTAGATAAATCGCTTTTTGATTGTGTGCACAGCATGTGAATCATAAACATTCTGTAACTTAAAATCACTTCTTCGCAATAAACTCAGCGAATAAAACGAGAGAGAGAAAAAGAGTATGCAAATTTAACAATGAATGATGCGCCAGTTGCCAGTCTCAATTCCTTACACACTACAATGTTAGGATGGAAACTTTACGTATCTTTAGGCAAATTACGTATTTCGTTTCGGTCCACGCCGCGCGATCCTGCGTGTTACGTATTTCCGTACAATAAAAAACGCCAAAGCACGACCACACGCACGCACGCACCCACGCACACGCACACCCCAGACATAGGTTTAACCTACAATACCGCATGTCCTACACATGGCCAGGATGAGTCCCACGCGGGGTCACCGCCGGAGTCCAAAGGCAGGTCAGGTCAAGGACGTCTCAGCTAAGCCGAGGCGGCGTCAACCAAACCTTGGGTCATCGCAAGGTGGGCAAATCAGAGCATCTCTTTCTATATAAAATGCAAATACTTTATGTTCGACGCCTATACAAAAGATTTCGGTGACTGTGCCGCAGTAGCCGGGCCGCCCTGTGCCCGTCCCAGTGTCTTTACCGCGCCGGTGTGTGTATGTGTGTATGTGTTCGGGTGCATGTCTTTTATCAGCGTGTGTTTCGTGTCATATGCCGAACATGTGGTTAGTGTCTGTGTGTCTGTGGGTGTCTGTTTGTTTGTGTGGTAGGTGTTTGTGTTTGTAGGTGAGAGTGTACACACCACGCTGCACGCAGCGGCGGCGGCGGCAGCGCCTCGTACCAGTGACATCACACACACTCACTGTCCGAGGCCATAAATCGGGCCGCTTGAGCCCGCAGCAGACACGCATACAAACGAGAGCCTCGCGCCGGTATCACCGAGAAGGCCGCCACGCACGCACAGCGTCCTCAACAATAAATAAATACGGACTAACGGACCACCGACCGAGGGCACACACTACGGGTCGCCCGGCGACGTCTCCGTCTCCGAGCGTGCGCCACCACCCTTGACCGAACTGTCCTGGCTTTTGTTCTCCTTTTTCCACTTCATGCGCCGGTTCTGGAACCAGATCTTGATCTGCCGCTCGGTGAGGCAGAGCGCGTGTGCGATCTCTATCCGTCGCCGGCGCGTCAGGTAGCGGTTGAAGTGGAACTCCTTCTCGAGTTCGAGGGTCTGGTAGCGCGTGTAGGTTTGCCGCCCTCTTTTCCGGTCTGCAAAGAGAGCACACGGTTCGTGTCAGCTGGTGGACGTCGGTTCAAACAGAGGTCAAACACGGCCACGACAGACGACTCAACTCCGGACAGGCCTGTGAACAAGAAGGTCACTTGCAAGTCGGCTCGTAAACTTGGCGGCGCCTGCCTCATGTGCATCGCCTGCAAGACGCACGGTCAGAACAGGATGTTTGCAGCTCTGACAAGTGACAACATTAACAAGACGGGCGACAGGGGCGGTTGGGTCCACGAGAAGTGAGCCCTTCACGGAGTCCGGCGACACCCATAAGTCAGTCCGCGTCCCCCGCACCCCGCCGCCTCCCCACCAGTGTCAGTCCACCAAAATCAATCCATCGGTGGGGCAATCAATCCCCGGCGTCGCTCAGTCTCACAGGGAGCGGACGTTTCCATTGGCACCATCAGCTGTCAGCATCTGGAGATCGACTCAGGCCATCTCACAGCACGCCCGACCCGTTCCCAGGCGGTCATCTTCGTCCCGATGACGTGCGGCCATTTTTGTGCGCTGCAGGGACTCGGGTTTTCCCGTTTGGGGTGCTCTCCAACCGTCTTGGGTGCAGCGCCCTCACGCTCCCACCCCTACCGTTCCCTTCTTCCGGCGTACATAAAGCCTTCAGCGGCGGCCGCTCTGGTGCGAGGCCGGTTCCCTCCTTCCCCAGCCGAGCCTGTGAGACCCTCCCAACCCTCCCAGACCCCATGTCTCTGTGTGTGCGAACCCCTGCCTGGGCTGCGCGACAGACATGGTCGACAGGACAGGACAGGACAGTCGCAGGCTATCTCAGCGAGCATCTGGAGACAGAGCAAAACACGGCGGGACGACGGAGACGGCCGACGGACCGACACGACCATTCGTCTCACCCCGTGTCGGTTTTGCAGGGGTGTTGGCCTTTATACCCGGCGACACTGATTGGGAGTCGGGATTTACGGGCGCGGCGCGGCGGTCGCGGCGCGGTCTGAACCGTGTCACGGCAGATGCGGCGCGGATCAGCTGGTCGCGACATCGCCTAAAGACACCTCCGACCCCGTTCACGGACGTGGGAACGCAGTGTGGGCTCCGATGGGTGAAAGGGGGCGGTTGTTACCACACCAAGCGAATGCCATTGATCGGTGTAGTGAACCAGATTCAGGCTCTCAAAGTCGGAGACGAGACGGCGTTCGGACGATTGAATTGTGCTAGATCATTCATACCCTGATGGTGGCGTTATACTGCAATGAATTTCATAACCTAATTCCCTAAGGAGTTCTTTGGGGCATCCTGTTCACTGATTACCCTATGCAAAGCAATCGTAGCGCAAATCTTCCAAAAGAATATCTTAGCACGAGGAACACAAGAAAGCCAAATGAGCCCTTTGCCTCAATGCCGAACGTTTCGCAAGTAACGCCGTCCAGTGTGTTCCAATTATATGAACTGGTTCATCCAGTATTTATGGTGAATGCCGTCTGGCCGAGGACATGCATCATTGTCGTGGCCGGCGTTTTGTGTGTTTATTCAGTTCGGACATAGATTAACGGCGGCCGCCGGCGCAGCGTTCACCGTGCACCCTGTGAATCGCGAGGGATTGCCGCAGTCGTGATCTGGCGCTTTGCATGCCTCAGTTCGCTCCAAATGAGGCGCCGACTGAAAAATACTCTGTGAGACTCCAAAAACAGGCCACTCATCGCACACTCGGCCATTTTGAATAACACATCTGGCAGACTTTTGGTCAAACTGTATTATTTGTTTGAATTGTTGACAGAATTGTTTTGGAGGCGGACGGAGATTATTAGACGATTAGACGACCTGATTATCGTTAGACGATTATCAGGCTTTTCAATTTTCAAACTTTGTTCACTGCATCCAAAATATCAGCAAATATTTGACAGATGCCTACCCAAGTGAAAAAATTGCCCCAAAATTTGTCATCGATAAAAAATGTTGGAGTTTATCAGATAACGGTCGGAAACAAAGAATATAGGGGAGAGTGGGGCAAAGCGGCCACCCGGGGCAAAGCGGCCACCCATCGTTTTAGCCCTTCATAGCTGGCGTCAGTTCCAATTTATGGTTTCCAATTATACTTCTCTTCACGGTCGTTCGAATGAGCCAGACCGGGGTTTCAGGCCCATCACCAATGTTCTGTGAAACACGGAAAAGCATTTCTTGCCAGGTTACCAATTATGTTTACAATTTTAAAATATTATGTTATTCCATAACCGTTTGGAATTTTTAAAAGCGTTCTTGTCCATGCATTCCATGGTTATCGTACATGTACTCTACCAATTTTAATGTTTTTTACCCCACTAATAGCTAAGCTGGAATATTTTTGTCTCGGACGGTATGCGCGGGGCAAAGTGGCCGGGGCAAAGTGGCCACCCCCCAATTGGCCATAAGTTGCTTCCATCTGGATAAAAAACATTATTTATATTCAAATGTGTCTTCATGCATTCATCTTGGCCACTTTTCAGTTGCATGAGTTACCAAATAATGCAATTAAATGTTTATTTTCATGAAAATCCTTTCTTTGTTTACCTACAAGTGGAAGATGATAAAGTAAACATCCATCCTCGCTTAACCTTGTCACCATCAAATACCCTAGTCATACACGAGGCAACTATTTTGTTTCTCATATCGGGACTTGAGAAGACGCCGGTGGCCGCTTTGCTCCAGGGTATGGGGCAAAGTGGCCAATATGCATAGGTTTAAAGTTTTGTCAATATCTTTCATATGTGAACGCCTTTGGAAATAAAACGCAGTTGAAATAAAAGGCAACTTAATAGGGATCACATTGGTATAGAAAGAATCTTTCCAAGTTTAAAAATCAAGCGTTGGCATCGTGAGAAGCGTTAGGGTGGCCGCTTTACCCCACTCTCCCCTACTGGAATTTATGCTTCAAATGCATCACAATGCACCCATTTTCACCCACTTTCCTTACTGAGAACTATCAACGACACATCAAAATATTTGTTATCTATTCAAAGGTTGGACTGCGTGAGCATCATTAACATGAGAAGTCAAAATGCGTAAACAATATGCAATACAAACTTATGCTCGCATTCATTGATGAGTTCCAAATAAAATGCCTAGTGTGTGAACAGTTAACTCGTGGCCACGCTAATGCTTAGCGTAACGATTTAGTATTAAATGTTACTGTGGCATGCTAAACATTTTTGCAAGTTGTTAACAGCCAATTGTGCAGTGATGATTATAATTATATGCCCAATCTTTCCTCTCTTAGTCTTATATGAAAAATGAGGATATTATTCTTGGCAGAATAAACACTGCAAAACATCCTTTATAGGCCTAATCAGTCATTTTTGGTCCATCCGTCATGTGCGGAAAAAACATTGGATCGTTTGAAGTGCGGCGACTTTTGCCTGCAACACACATATGTCAAAAGCAAACGATGCCAGCTTCATGTCAGGTTAAATAATCGATCAAAACTTAAAAACAAACACATATTGAAAAACAGACATGCATCAAGGATTAGTAAAAATTGTAGGACCCAATGCCTGATGTTTGTATAACTTAAAGATTCATTACCAAAATACGCTACATTCGCATCACATAATTCATCAACCAGTCAGTAAGCCTTTGCTCGGGTACTAATCACCGAAATTTATGGCGGCGGGTATATTTTAGTCGTCTGCTAAAGGGACCATTTTCCTCTCCCCGCGTGGTCCGGCCGACGCGACGTGGGCGTTTCTTCATCCTGCCGTCCACTCAGGGATGAAGTTCTCACTCCGAGAGAGACTGATCGCCAGTCGAGCCCATACAAAGGAAAACGCTCCACCGCCATTTGTCAAAATGTAGACCGTATCAATCAGCGTTCACGGACGTCCAAAAAAGGGCCGGCCTCAGAATTAGACAATCGGCGCCGTGCAGGGAGCACCCGGCCCGCCCGCGGCGCCGCTCATTTCAGACGGTCGGGGGTGCTCTCCCGGCCGCACAGTGCATTCCGCTCAGCCCTGCATCATGCTCGAAAATCATCGGTCCGAACACGTGCAAAACATTTTCGGCTCCTGCAGCCTACAGTGAGTCATTTAGTAGGAGCGCCGTGCGCGATTTACGGGTCTAATGCGGTGCTAAGTTATCGGAGTGTAATAGGCCGTGTTTACATCCGCACCTCACAACAGGCCGGCGTGCGGTCATCACCTCTCACTACTCACGGCCGGCCTGCAGCCAAAGAGTTGCCGAGCGCCGCGCCGCGCGCTGCCTCCCATTTGTGTCACTTTGAGTGGCTGTTAAACATTTTATCGCCGCGTTACTCGGTCATTCACATAGCCGGGTCCCATAACAGGCCGCCCGACTCGGACAAGGTCGTGTGGTGACTTTTATAGCCCTGCATCTCAGCTGAGTTGATCGAGTACCGATGCCGAGCTGCGGCGCGGCGGCGGTGGCGGTGGCGACGACTCATCATCCCCCAGTCCCGGCCACCGCGCGGCCCGCCGCCACCACGCACTGCTCTTGACCTACCGCAAGCTTCACCCACTTTTGGCCGACCATAAATCCAAAAGTGAGTACTATAATGTCTTTTATTGCCCTCTAAAGATGTCATTTCGCCGCGCCTCTGGCCGTATATCTCTGCGGCGGTGCTCGCTCGGCCCAGGTAGCTCGGACTCGGCCAGAGCGGGCCAGCCGGGCGCGACACAGCGTCAATGCAGGGCCCGACTCAATGCGCCCCTGACAAATGAGCACATGCACAACTCAGCACCGATGAATAATTCATTCGGTGGATGAAAATGAGCCGGTTTGCTGTCGCCGAGTGCCCTCTGTGTAGCTGGCTGGGCGACTATGGAAGGGACCGGCAGATGTGGAGAATCAGCGTCGCCCGGTGTAGAACCGTTGCTCGCCCGGCCCCATGTCGGCAAATACGGCCCCGGTGCGGCGTCGGCCGGCGGCGGAGAGGGTCGGCTTACCGACCCGCCACGGCCCGGGCAGGCGGTCATGAATGGAATAATCGGGTGGCTTGATCGATATTTTTATTTAGTTTTTGATGACTAGTAGATCTGAATGACAAGCAAGGCGAGCTAGGTTTAGTGATACAATTTTGAAGCTAGTGGTTTTGTAGCGAATCGAATTTGGTGGTGGAGCTGAAATAATTGTAAAAATGTGATTTGATGCTGGAATATTTTTGTTCGGCTAATAATATTTTTTGTTGTAAAATATCAATCCCTAATTGTTTAGGTAAACGATGATCCAACATGTAAACGCTATGCGGCAGAGGAAACAAAAACTTAGCGAAAGTCATGAACACAAAACAGTGAACAGTTTTGAAATTTGACAGTCTTGACAACAATCAATAAAAGCATATTTTTTTCTAGCATGTTTTTAATGAAATGGTTGATAAACACCATTTCAAAGGGTTCTTTATAGAGTGTTATTTCTTTTGGCGCCGTCAAATAATCAATAGATCCAGTCCATTGATGACGTTCATAATATTAAAATGGTATGTGTAATGTGTATACAACAGAGATGGAATTTAAGCTTTATTTGACGGCAGATAGCTGAATTAATTTGTCTTTTCATTGGTAGGTGACCCTTCGATTTGATGGCAGGACCGTTAAGTGCATGTGGTATACCTGTTATCTAAATGGTTCGAATGCTTGATATTGTCAAGCCATTGTCAACATTTGGGTGCCAATATAGGACAAACGTTCAATTAAAAAAAGAGCGCAGAAGTTAGAACAGCCGATAAGATGACATGGATACATTTTATGGAATATGTATGCGAGTGAACTGCAAGCGCTTGTGGGTACGAGTGTGTTATGTGACTGGTTAGTGGTAGGTAACGCTTATTTGTGAAGTTTGTCGGCAACTCTTTGAATGCTAAGTCGGCTAGTCCATTAACGAAAAGTCATGGATCTTATTTATGAGCTAAGACGGACAATAATTCGTCTTTCTGCCTGAATGCTTCAGCAAACCTATACGTTACGCACGTACTTCAAACGAATTCAGCACGTAATAAGGCACGTAACAGCCTGTAACAGACGCAAGACACCACTTTACAAAGTCGGGACCAGCCGTAACTCATTGGGACCGTTTTTGAAAACGCGGTGCTCGAGCAGCTCCAAACACCCCGTCAAGAGCATACGTCACTGTCAGAACTTGGAAAAAGCCGCCCGTCACCGCTACTGCGCTCGAGAAAATACGGCTGTTTGCCGGAACACCTCGGGTCGGGTCGCATACATAGTTAACATGTCGCTGGGTGGCGCACAGACACCTGCCCTCTCCGCAATGACATTCGGCCGCCGCTCAGCGTCCGGCGAGCGGCGAAAATCAATGTCGTCGCCGCGCGCCTTTGTTGCGATTTGCCTTCGTCGTGGCCGACGCCGGCGCCTGCGTCGAAATCGACGGCGGCGAGTCGTAGAACATCGGGCTATCGATTCGGCGCGGCGCCGGGTGGCATCGCCTAGCGACGCACTGGCAACAGGTCGCGACGGATGGCCGCTGGGGTAGGGGCGGGGGCGGGGCCCAGACGGGGAGGGGGGATACCGGAGGGCACGGGTCAGACTCTCCTCCCAGGTCATTGGGGTCACCAGTCGTGTCACGGGCGCTCGCCAATTCGAAGCGACAGAACGTGGTTTCCCATGCACCGGTTCATTCGGGTCGTGGTGAACGGTTTCTCGGTAAATTGTCTAATACTCGGCGGAGAGGTCGAGCCCTCTTCTAATGAATGCCCTGAGGGATTGGAATGGTAATTGGTCGTCGCTGTTGAGCGTGCGCTCTTTTGCATGACCGCCATAACAGTTAAATTACCCCGGCTCCGAAAACCCCAGCGAGAGACTACATTAAAGTTGGCATTGGCGAGACCGCTTTCTCGACAGCCTGCCGAGCGGCAGAGGTGCGCTCCAATGATCCCCACACAGGCAGACAGACAGACAGACAGACAGACAGACAGACGGCAGTGAGTCACGGCCGGCACCAGATGCCAATAGCTCCGGCTCACCTCTGTTTGGCCCGGAACCCCGGCGAACTGTTGTCATTGCGAGAAATAATATTATCGACGCCCGAAATCTAGTTTACGGAGCGGCTTGCATGCAACGGCACAAATGTTATGGAAATTTTTCAGCGGATCCGGGATTTGCGAAAGTACCCTGCATGCCTCGGCACTCGGGCGCTCGCTGCAGGCCATCTATAATGCAGGGGTCTAATCCCAGTGTTTTGCATACGACAGGTGCCTCGACTCGGAGCGCCGGTAAAAGTCAATTTAATCAAGTGCTTGATTGATTGTGCTGACAGCGGCTAAGCATCTGCTCTACATATTAAGCGGCCAGTGCTGGTTAACAGAGACGCTCTTAGAGCGGTAGTGTTCACTCGAACTGCGCCATAAAACTGTCAGCTGATTACCAGCCAGTCTATAAACCAATTTGCGTGGCTGGGGTCAGGTGGTTGTAAAGGAAATCGCTTCGATATCACGACGCTTTCAGCGAAGTTTTATGGCCTACCGTGTCTAATCCATCATTTGCCAGGTAGCTACGTGCACACGGTGATCTATACCTGTCTTGTGGATAATCTGTGACCTGGGGTGACCTCACCCGTCCCACCTATGCAACATTCTGCAACACACACTCACGCACCCCACAACCTCTCCCACGTGTGGCCCTCACGTGACACCCACTCACCGAATTGTGTCCGCATCCAGGGGAAGAGAACGTTGGGCGAGGCGGCGCCGCCCTGCTGACCGGGCGGCCCGGGCGGGGGTGGCTGGCCACCGTTGGTGTACATGACCTGCTGACCGCCCGGGGGCATCTCGGCGCCGGCAGGCGGCTCCGTCTGAGTCTGCATGTACTGCGCGTCGGGCATTCCGTTCGGCACGCCGCCGTTCATACTCTCCTGCATCTTGCAGGGCATGTAGCGCGCGCCCGGGTACTGGCTGGGTGAGTGTGTGCGGTACTGGTCCATGGAGGCGTCGTAGCCGCCGCCGCCGCCGCCGTCCGGCATCTCCATCGGCTGCGGCTGCGGGTAGTAGGCCGGCTGCTGGTGGTTGCCGTTGGCTCGCATGTGCATGGGCGGCCGCTCGTAGGCGCGGTACATATCGGGCCGGTGCTGCTGCTGCGGGTCGACGGCGGCCGGGTGCATGTGTCCGGGTACCTGGTGCGGCGCCGGCGGCGGCGGCGGCGGCTCCATCGGCTGGTAGTAGCCGCGTGCGTCGCAGTGCGGCGCCGCCACCTGGGCCGGGTGCGCCGGGTGGCCGTACTCGGCGGCACCCATCTCGGCCGCCGACACCGGCAGCTGGTAATTGTTGTTGGTGTACGTCGTATTGGGCATAGCCAGTTCGGGGCACGCGCGCACCACGCGCGACTGTAGCACTACAAAACACAAAGTTCACTGCGATCACTGCACGATGCGCTCCAGCCTGCCGATTTCCCACCTGAAACAAGAGGAGAGCGCATGTCAGCGGCCTGCTGGCGGCACCGGACGCGACTCAATCGGCCGCTACCTGGAACACCGGTCCGCGCGGGCCAGTCGCTCCCGGGAAATAATGCGGACGCGTTTATCAGAGTAAACCCTAGCCAATGGAGAAAATGAGCCCGTTCGTCAGCACGTACCGACACGGCCGGCTCTGGGTAACCCAGGGTATCGCTGGGCAGCACGGGGAGCGCCCGATACGGCACCCGGTTCTCTCGCACCCTCACGAGTCACACTGCCGCGCCCCTGCGCCCCAAATTCATAGGCCCCGAAACCACTTCGATAATCTCTTTCCAAAGGCCAATGCGGGCCGCGCGCCTTTCTGTGCGGGTTCCCGCCGGAGCGGCCGCGTCCGTCGCTTGATTGGCCGTCCATTATTCGTCAAATCCGGTCTCTATTATCCGGGTTGACGCGATCATTTATGTCTCTGGGCCGGGGGACAGCTCTGTTTGTACAGAGCCGGTCCCCGTCAAAGGCGGCCATCGCGCCGCCGCGCGCCGCGCCGCGCCGAATTTGTCACCGCCGCGTCGATTGTGTCACGCTCAAAGCGCGCCCCGCGCGCGCAAAGGGTTCCCCTGCGCGGGACGGGCAGCGTCGAAGCGCCGCCGGTGCCTCGTCGAGGCGTTCCGCGAGTCGCCACTACGCCCCGGCACGCCTCGTCCGGCGTGACGGGCAAAAAATCGCCGCGATCATATCGCATTATCTGCGCATCGTCCGTGGGCGGCGTGGCGGGTGGTGCGGGCGGCCATGCTGCGATTTCACGGACCCGTCACGGTCCACCCCCTGTGGCGCGGAACGGCGGCCGGTCGGCCCACGGGGTGACCTCGGCGAACCCGCCGGCCCGCGGCCAGCCTCGGCGGGCGGAGACGAGGAGGTCGAACGAGGTGAACTCGAGCCACGAGCGGTCACGGGACGGTTCGCTCGCCACCGAATATTGCTTTCAGCGGCGCAATTCGATGGAAGCATGTTTAACGCCGTGCAATCGGGCAATCATCACTGCAGTTATCACCAACACCGTCACCGTCATCGTCATCAGCGTCACCACAGCCGTCATCGCCGCCGTCATCGCCGCGATGCCGTCACGGCGAGCAGTTGGCCGACGTCGGCACGCGTCGGCGTCTGTCAGCGGCGCGTGCATCCATCAGGCGGCGATTATTTCGTGCAGGTCGCCGTCAGCGGCGGACCGGCGCGTCGGCCGTTAATTTCCCACCGGCGTCTCACTCGGGCCGCGCCGGCGGCGGCGATGCCCGAAAAACGTCGCCGGTCCGAGTCGTAAATCGTCGGCCCGCGTGTTCCGTATCACGGCGTGAATAACGATACATTGTCACTAAATCTCGGCGGGCGCACACTAACTCACTCGGCGCGGCGGCTCACTGTTTGCTCTGGCAGAGCGCGCTCGCTCGCGGCGGCGATCACCGTGTTTACACACCGCAATTGATGCATGATCCGGGAGGAGACCTGGTCACCTCGGTGGCACTGCCGCAGGACCACTGCGGAAGGCTTCCGTCCTCGACCAGTCGGCGAAAGAAAATGTTTGAGTCGGCCAGATGTAAACAGGAGTGCTACACGGGGCTAATGATCGCCATGTCGGCGGCAATTAGTACAAGTCAGATTTCGGAGCGGGCTCCGCCGGATTGACAGATGCGGAATGAGAGAAACGCCACTTTCCACCAACCAGAGGCCGCCAGTTTGATTTACGGCCAGGGGGCCGATGCGCGTCATTTGCGCATGCGTAGTGACATCTGGTGCCCCGACCAACCGGCACATGTTTTGGCAGCGGCCGAGAATTTCCGCGCTTCCTTTGGAGCGCCGAGACGACAGGGTCCGTTTGTTTGCCGACGCCGTCCATCTTGTCAGGGAGGCGCGTCTCGTCAGACAGGGGGACAGATGGAGGGGGGGGGGGGGGTCTGTGAGACCGGCGTCGGCTACGGCGCGGGTACGCCCACCGAGCGGCGCCGGCAGACGTGCCAGCGGCAGCGGAGAACGGCGCCGGAGGGCATACCGTGCCGGATATGAGGCGAGCGCCTGCCTCGCGGGCTTGTTTCATTCCTTGCAGCGGCTCGGCACCGCCGGCGAGCTCGGATCTGCGGAGGGTCGCGGGGGGCCAGCTCGGCGTATCCGCCAGCAGAGGCCACCGCGGCGCTGCTTCCTCGCCTCCGCCGCCGCTGCCGTCGCAACATTTAAAGCATTTTCCAATTAGAAAATTCCGTCGTGCAGCGCTATAAATCGCTCAGCCGGCTTAGCCAGTCACATAACTCATACATCCCTCTCCGAGAAATCCCTCTTCCCAGTGCCGGCGAATATTTCACGCGGCCGCTCGGCGTGGTTTTTGTGGTGTGCCGGCTGCGGCAGCTCAGCGCGGGTTTGTGGGTGAGCCCCGGCCGGGGCGGGGGTCGGTGTGCCATACACCGGCGCCGCCCCGCCGCCCCCGCCCCCGCCCTGCAACTAACAGGGGCGCCGCCGGACCGCCGCCGCCCACAGCTGGCACGTAGCGTTCACAAAGAGACGCCCAAAACCGCCCAGGGCCGCCCAATGGTAGACAAAGCAGGGTCATGGACACATTGCACGGCCAATGAATAACGAGGTGGTAGCGTCGGCAAGTCATTATCAAGATCGGAAAGAATCTCATTACTTATGCAAGGTGATATAAATATGCATCTTCATGCATGTTGTAAGCATTTCGATTTTAGTATGGTATAAAAAGACAACTGTGCGAGGAACGCCGCTTCGTCATGGCAAATAACAAAATGTATTTCAGCCCAGAGGAACAACACCGGACGTAATGCATCTCTCACTCCTACCCCACTGACCCTCCATCTTCCCACGTGCCACCCACCCCCTGAAAACCCCTTCATCACTACCCCGCCCCACTCCCCTTCGTACCCCTTCATCACGAAATGCCGCGAGCCGGTACCGTCCAGCCGGACGCCGAGCTACCGGCCGCCACCGGACTGAAGACAATGCCAGGATGTGCTTCTGGGTCAGACGGAAGCGGCTGCCCCGGCTCGCAGCGGCTCTCGAGGCCGGCCGCTCCGTGTCGGAGGGCCGTTCGCCAGCGGGCGGCCGCTCACCAACTCGGACGTAAACGTTTTATCAAGTGCGGGCCAGTTTCATATCGGAGTGAGGCAGTCGTAAATCTCGCCGATATTGCCCGAGCGCGTTGCTACTAATAGCGGCTGGATTTATCGCTGCTGCCGACGGCGACCACGTGCGGCATCGCCAGGTGAGCCGCCGCGTCACAACAGCGGCGGACCGACGGCGGCGAGACGGCATCGACGGCTGATGTGGCGGTACCGACGGGGGGGGGGGATGGAGAGGGGCGAGGGAGTGAGTAGAAGAGGTGGTGGCCAGGGTTGAGTGTTGGGACTAGAGGGGGAGGAGGGGAGTTAATGACGGCGATGGTTGCGTTTAGGAGCTGACTGGAAAGTAGCGTTTTTACGCCACGCTCTGAATGATTTAGGGTGGAGCCGCCTGAGGCACGTGAAAGCGAGTTGTGGCAGTCTCAGCCTGGTCAGCCACCGGGGCGGGGAGGGGGGGGGGGGGGCGGCAGTGTATAGGGCACAACGTGACAGCAGTCAAGACAAGATGCAGGGCTGTGTACCGTATAGTGTGCACTGTGCAGGCATGCGTCGCATAATACGAATGGGGTTGGCTTCGTTACAAGCCGACCTACGAGACACGTAAAAACGCCCCGCGAGATGGCAGAGATAGGAACCAGAAGCCAGGTGGGGGGTTCGTTGGTAGGCAAAACATGACGGCTGATATGCATACTGAAACGCGGGCGTGCAGCAGCTGGTACCGCACCGCCATCCCAGCTGGATCAACACCGGAGAGCGAGATCAACAGAGTCGGGCCATTAGTCAATATCTGCCACGGCAACATCGAGAGGTGACGTCACCATAACAAAGTGACGCCTCCGGTAGCGGGTCAACAAACGCTCAGTGTTAATGCACCGTCTACTGAGCGTTAGTGCTGAGTCAACAAGGTTAACTCCATGTGGAAAACAGCACACTTATGATTTCCTTGAACCCGATAACAGCAATGGAAATGTTTACATCGATTTGTCACTTGCGACAACGGAAGGTGAAACATTGCCAAAGTTGCATGTCCAATGCCCGCTGAGCGAGCAAGTCATTGCGCTAAGCGTTCCTTGGCCTAGTCACGGTCCCACCTGGCGTTTGATGCACGACTTCCAGCAATGTGGGGCACGGGGTACAAAACGATCCGTGACTATGGCAGTCAGGGCGGGGGGGGGGGACACGCTGGCACCTGCCGCCCTGAGCCTGTCGAACTCACAGACTCAGCCAGCTGAGCTGCTGACTCAGCGACTCAGCCGCCAACTCACCATTCAGGTGACTAGCGGGGCGCCGCTCCTGCCCTCCGCGGCCGCCGGGGTCACCGGTGACCCGTGCCAGGTCACCGCGCAGGCGCGCCACTGCATGCCGCCTTCGCCGCGGGCGCGCCACTGCTGTTCACCGCACAGTCCGACGCAAAATGCCACGGTGCCAGCGCCGCGGGCCCTCCCGCTATGGACGGCTAACCATGCTGCACTCACGGATCCGATATGCAAATTCGCGGTAAATAATTAAACCGCCCGAGCCGGCACCGTTACTAATTGTGTCATGTTTATGAATGTCAAAAGAGCAGGAAAGACGAGTATTTCTGCAGTGCCCCGACCTGTTAATCGGCCCAGAGCCGCCGCTGGCGATTAGAATGCCCGTGCAGCTCCTGTGCCGTTCACCGACGACTGGCCAGCGTTCAGCGCCGCTTTAAGCCGCACAATTAAAATGCATGCTCTCCTTTCGCCGCCGTAATTAGTCTCAGGGCGCTGCACGAAACGGTCGACAGGCGTGCCGAGCGCGAATTAACCGGGCTACTCGGCCCACACCCACCGGCATTGCATGGTAGACTCAGACGTCGGTCCCACTGGCCAAAGCCGTCAAAGGCAAGGCAAGCTGCCCT